ACACACAGACAGGGTCGTCCCAATATGCGTTTTTGCAATTTGCATATAGGCAAAAACGCATAAAGAGTGCAGCAGATGGATGTTGTTTGAAGGAACATTCACAAGTTCTTTTTGCTCGCAGTAATTAGTGTGTTGAGCTGCACGACCAAGGGAAAAGAAATTGGAAGCTGTAGCAGCATGCACACCCGGGTACAATTCGATCTGACAGCAGCAAAGGAAGCAAAAGAGATACAAAATTAACATAAATCTGGATTTTTGCGATACCGTGGTTCCCTTTATAATAACGATGTCGCCGTCAATCAGCGGCACCAAAATTATATATGCAACTCTTTTTTGTAAGCTGGACCCAGCTGGAGCGAGGCGGAGTTCAGTAGCCGATTTTTCCGGCAAATTTTTGGCGTCAACATTTGTTTTCGTACCGACCAGGGCGCCGTCCACCAACTTCAGGACGTCGTCCGCCAACATCAGACCTCACCTTCCACCGTTTTTATGCATTTTTGGTGTGCAGCGCTATGGCGTTGCTACACCAGCCAAAACGTGCATTGTTGGGAGGCTGTGTGTGTGTTCAGAAACAAGTGCATTTTGTCACCCATTTTCATCTCAGCAACCAGAAAAGCTGGGAGGCTGAAACTTTGAGTATATGTTCCTACTCCGTGTGCCACCCTCCCGTTTTAAAATATTTCCAGACAAGCGCTTAGACCCCGCGTACGGGCTCCCCAAAAAAATATGCAAATTTCCTTGGCGGGAGACGATTTCGCGAACCAGGCATGGAAGAAAGCTGAAACTGCAGAGATATTCACTATACACGTGCGAGCTAAAGATTTTAAACGCAGCTGTCAAGCACGCTTGTGAAGCGCGTACGATCACGTCAAACTTTACAACTTGGTACAGTGCTAACTCAAAAACTTGCCGAAAAACAGTGGCTGAAATTTTGTCAGGATGTTTGCCTCCCAAACAGAAAATACAATAAATGAGTACCGACCTACACTGGCATCACGACTTAGGGCATTTCAAAGATATTTGTAGCGAAGCGGATATTTCGTTTACCGGATAAGCTGCAAGGCTGAAAAATCGCTGAAACATTTCAAGTGCAGTCTTAATTTTGCTTGAAATTCCCTCCAGCTGGACTTGAGAAATATTCAACCCCACCAAAATCAGAAACGAGTGCACTTTGCAACGAACGACCGCCCTCACCCAAATATGTAAATGAACATTAGTTCACTGCATGAAGTGCGGTCATTTTCTCGGTAAACGCTCGCTTTATGAAAAAATGAAAAACGCAAATTATTTGAAAAAATGCAAATTTCCAGTCCACTAAAAACTGGAAGTATTGCTCGAGCGGTCGTTTACCAAGAAATTCAACCATGCACCTGGATGTCCGCGCGGCTTTATAATACATCCCTATAATACGGCTTTATAATACATCCCTCCCTTCTCCACGCCGAAAGAGACCAAAGCACTGCCAACGTGAGGCCAAGTGTTAAGCTACAGCGTAGGGATCATACCTGCTAATAGTAGTCTGCAAGTTAGCGATGGTGCCCTCTCCCATCACTTTGAATATTGGGGCTAAGAGCAACTTTTTCAAAAAGATCCTTTGTGTTTGCCTTCTTGGTGCCTATAGGAATACGAATTTACAAAAACAACACACGTTTTGTAATAAAACAGCATACGTTTTTCTCATGTAAGTCCACAGCTTCCCCAGATCCTCTTTTCCAGGCGAATTTGCTAGCAAAATGAAATACCGCACAGCCGTCAAATGCAAGTACAGTGAATCGGTTGTGTTGTGTGGTACCAGTCATGTCCCACACACCCACACGCAGCCGTCGTACACACCAATTGAAGCTGGTGTGCAAACCACACGCAATCCACACTCAAACCACGCGTACTCCCTTATATACGTACGGCGCGCTGTACCACACACAGACGCCGCATTCACACACAGCCCCTGCACACGCAATGCACAGCTGTTCAGTAGATGTGCGCAAGAAATGAGTGAGATGTATTCCAAATCGACGTTGCAAACGCGGCGCGTTCCGTAGGCATACGGCTACGATCAGTTACGACAGGCGGCAAATTTGAATTCACGTTGCGTACTAACGGTGATGAATTAGGCGAGGGGAGGAGTGCGGACATGGTCCACCCACGTCATTGGTATCCTGGCCTGGGCGGGAGGGGAAAAGGGAGAGGAGAGAAAAACAGCAAAGGCAGTGGTAGTTGAAAATGAGGGGTATACTAGTTAACTGCGAAAGCTAGGAAGTTTAAGTTGTCCTGGTCAATGTGCAGGATAGTGATGGGCCATTAATTTGTCGATTCGCACAAATGATTAAACGTCGTCCTAAGCTGAATGGTGGCATAATGTGGAACCCGCTTCTTTCTTCCCTATTCCTTCTCTACGAGAGACAGTACTTCAAAGTGTGATGCGAAAACACATGATGGCACCGGCTCGCCTGGGTGCGTTCCAGCCTGGGTTTTGTTATTGCTGTCGCCTAAGTATACCTGTAGTTACTCTAGTTAACAAAAGCAATTAAGGTTAATTATAATAACAATACAAAATTTTAAAAATTCAAAGGCGGAAAGAAACTGTGTTTTCACCACACGTATCACAAGTGAGTCACGATCTCAGTTTCTGCGCGTTTTTGAACAACTAACATATAAATCGATGGTGAAATCTAGAAAATCTTGCACAAAACTTTGATGTTGACGTTTTCAGGGAAAAGCGGCTGAATTTTTTCCTCTGGTATGCCAGGAACTGTCATCTTCCGCATGTTCTTTATTCACTGTGTTGCGTTGACAATATTAACGTCGGAAACGAATGTGGTAATAAGATTATTAGGACCACCGAGCCATAACAATGACAGCATTGGCTATGTGATTCATCTCTCCCCTAACAA